TGACCACCACGATCCCCTTCACTCGACGCTATCCGCATCCGTCGCCCACGCCCACCAACGACGTGTCAACCAACGGACGACGACAGACGACAATGACGTGGCACCACCGAAAACACCGCCAGCGCCCCCAAAAACACCCCAGCGCCCACAAAAAGCCCACGCCGCTGACGAAAACGTCCCAGCGCCCACCGTAAACCACCCGCGCCCACCAAAAACAGCCAGCGCCCATCGAAAGACACGAAACAACGCCCCGGGACACGAAACGACACCCAACGGACCCGAAACGACGCCCAACGGACACGAAACAACGCCCAACGGACACGAGACGACGCCCAACGGACGCGAAACAACGCCCAGCGCCCATAAAACAACCATGGACGACGACGACGTGTCCACGCCAACGACGACGACGCCCACGACGTGTCCACGCCAGAAGAGGGGACAACGTGTCAACGCCAACGCGACGACGTCCACGCCAACGCCACCGCGTCAACGACCACGCATGAATGAAAATGGGCCTCCCCCTCCCTCACTCCCTCTTTCTGTCACTCCACCCCATTCCTGTCCCTCCCCTCTCCATCACCCCCTTCCCTTCCCTACCCCTCCACCACTCCCCTCTCCATCACTCCCCCCTGTCCACCACTCCCTCCCTCCATAACTCTCCCCTCCTTCCTACCCCTTTCCTTCCCCACTGCCTTGTCTTTCACCCACCCCCTTTCCCTGTCCCTGCCCCACTGTCCCCCCTTCTTTAAATATAGACTGTATGTTAATTTGTAATAAAATACATCCCATGTCTTTGAATACATTCAATACATTACAATTCAAGTTATTAACTTCAAATTTTATCAGGAAAAGTGGTCAGAATGATGTTGGAGTTGAATAAATACATCTTAAGTCACATGACTCATAAATTCCTGTGGAATTCCAGTGGATTCCTGCAGATTCCTGTGGAATTCCTGCAGATTCCTGTGGAATTCCTGTGGATTCCTGTGGATTCCACTGGAATTCCACTGGAATGACAGGATTCCTGCAGGAATAGGTGGGGCACTGTAAAGTACTGCAAGTTTCCGAACTAGCGCGCCTTGCCGCCCGTGCTTCTACCCAAGAAATAGAAGGGTCAGTAGCTTGCAGCAAGAACTTCATACCACCGATGCCATCTGGCATATGAATTGTGTCCAAGTCAAATCGTCTAAGGATTCCGGAGCTCCAGGTTGGACTGAACGCGACAATAGGGCGAGTCTTCGAGCGTAGTTGACAAATGTTGCAAGAGCGTACAAAGTATGCAATCTGGTCGAACATATTTGGCCAGAAAAAGCGCTCCGATAAGGTCTTGTATGTTGCATCCCGGCCTCGATGTCCCACGTCGTTGTGAGCTTCTGCAATCAAAGCTGAACGGCGGTCAATGTCCATGATAACTAAACGAGGGAGCTTTCCTTTAGATTCAATTTTCCAGAGACGATCCCCATCATGAAGGAAGAAATTCTTTGTTCGTCGAATGAAGGTTTTGCGTTCCACAGGGTCTTCACAACGGCTTGGCATAATGTCTGTCTTGAGATAGGTAATGATTTCTTGCCACATTTCTGGTGAGTCCTTGTCTTTGACACCAAAAGCATGTACGGCGCAAGATACGGCGATTGAGAGAGGTACATCCTCGTAGTTGACTCTGTTATCGGTCCGAAATGATGGGTCCGGAATACCTGGTAGAGAAGACTGATCAGTAATCGATGGTCGAGGCGCACCTTGTCGTAAGGAGGACATATAAGAGCGCCTATAAGGGCATAACTCCACGTCAAAAACCTCGTTTCCTAAGGAACACGTCGCTACAAAGGGCGTACAAACTTTGCGGTGCTCAAACTCGCTTCCTGTATAAGAAAAATCATCTGTAATGGAGAGAAGTGAACACTTAACAAGAGATTTGCTTCTAGAATCTTTCTCTGAAGGGTTGAAATGTTCTTGTTTGATCTTGTGAAGTTCTGCCGCTAAAGAAGGGCTGGGGTCGCCTGCACTAAGGACAGAAAGGTCATCAGCAATAGACGCGGTGCGAAAAGAAGCATAAGGAGTTCGAGGCGTTCACCGCATAGTTAGCAAAAGGTCTTGAAAGAAACTCTTATCTAGGCGAGTTGGTCGAAAAGCGTACAGCGACTCTGAAGATATAAAGTTCGTCAACGAAGCAGATGAAAGGGAAGGGGAGTCTAATAAAGCTGCGCCCATAAACTTATCCAAATATTCTTCTGCATCTTCATCTTCTGTATCCTCGGGAGTGCGTCTTCGCCGAGAAAGTCCATCAACGCCTGCATGAGATTGGGCCGGGACGTGATTCATTACATAGTCGAAGAGCGCAATATACGAGATCCATCGCGTCATGGGAGCATTTGGAAGGTCCGGTTGCTTCACCATCTCGATTAAAAACTTCGCGTCGATGTCGATTCGGAAGTGGATCCCCCAGATTCGGTGTCGAAGTC